AGGGTAAAGATGAGATGTTCTTATGTACGATGGAGAAGTTTGATGTATATGCGATACCTTGTTGGGCACATAAAACTTTGAAAGGCGTCCCAAGAGATTATTCATTTGGATTGAAAAGTTTGAACAAGCTTTCCTTCTTCGAAACCAAATCCGATTTCATACACAAATTCTCTTGCAAAAATCGCTTGGTCTTACTTGAATGGATCCGTCGATTATATGATGCCCGAGTACGTTCCCACCTCATCTAATATCATCTTGAGAGAGAATGAGAAGTTTGATGCTCACGCGTGTGATGTTGTAGAGCTATATCGTGATGAGTCAACGAGGAGAAGATGAGCCGACGACTGTGGGTTTGAATCGGACGAAATCGACGCGATCGGGAGGGCTAGAGAAAGTCAAGTCAGTGAAAGTCAAGCGGAGTGGGACGGTATCAGGAGGGCGGGGGCAGGGGGGCATGAAAGAGGCAATACCAGCGATACCAGAGAGGGGAGCACGAAAGGAGTCGACGGGTTCAGGAGGAGGAAGTGCGAATGGCAGCTCTGGACTCAGTCGTCGCCCGACCCTCATCCAGACCGGCTCTTCGACGAGGTTCAGACAGGGCACTCTCCTCGGCGACCTTAGCTCGGCCCCCCCTCCACCGCCCAAACATCACAACTTAACCGACGACTCATCGACTCCTACTACTACCACCCTTCAGGCCGTCCTTCCCGCGCACATCCTAGCGCTCTCTTCTTCTCCCGATCCGCGTCTCACCTCGCCTCGTGAAAACGCGCCCGGTATCGGCTCGGGAAGGTCTAGCAGTCAACCCGCGGCTACCTCTTCGCATGCTCATACTCCTACCACTGCCACTTCAACAGCTCCAACCACCTCCACTACCACTATCAAGGTTCGGACTTGGGAACAAATGGGATCTGAGGAACGCAAATTGTACTTGACCGAAGTCCAAAATAAAGCGAAATTAGAAGGCCGCACTCTCCTCCAATTCGACAACAATCCAGTCGGCAGTATCCATAATAATCATACTCATCATCATACTTCGACGACTCATTCTTCGCATTCCACTAATGCTAAAGAACCCTTGATCTCCTCGGTTCCTTCTCCTTCATCGTTCAATCATCACCCTTCTTCTTTTAATCCTTCTGCTGCGGCTAGTCCCGCAAATAATGGTGGCCTTAAACGAAGCATGACTACTGGCGCGTCGAGGTCGACTAGATCTCCTTCGACTCATAAACCGTCTCGAAAGATTTAATACGTCCTGTCTTTCGCTTCCTCTCTATATTCTCGCATATCCCTCCATCACCTTTCCTTTTTTTTAAGTCTCGTTTGCACTTCCAACGCCCCCCCCCTTTTTCGTTCTTTTATAATTAAAAAAAAAAACTCGTTTCGTCCGTCCTGGCCTGCTTCTCCACTTCTTTCTTTCCTTTCATATTTCGTCTTTTCTTTTTCCTGATGTGGATTCTCCTTCAATTGATACGAGAGCCAAAACAGTTGAACTCAAGACTGATAAATTATATAAGAATTCCTTAATGCCCTTTCCTTTTTCTTCCTCCATCCATCCATTTTTTCTTATATGTCGAACATATACACACATATATATATATAACTTTCATCCTCACTTCATTCCCCATTTCCATTTCACTTTCCTTACATATTCGTCTTTGTTGACAGATTTATATAGTGACTTTCTGTCGAACGATTCTATGAGTTTGTTTGTGTGTCTCTTTTCTTCAGGAAAGAGAAGATCAACAAAGCCTGTTGATGATTATCACTTTGTGTTTTTTGTTTTCGATTTCAAAGATTTGATTCCTTTCGACTTTTTTTTTTTTCGTTATCATTGATTATCCATCACATAGTTAACATTATAAGGGTGTACGCTATATATACTGTGTATAGATACTTGTATACTCTCTCTTTTCTTATTGGTCCAGTGATTTTTTTTTTTCGTTTGTTTGGGTTTGAACCTATCTACTCTACTTGACTTTTTTTTTACTTTTTCTATTGTTGTTCTTTGTTGCCAGCTTTTGATCAAGTGTAGTTGTTGCTTCCTCCCCCTCCACGTCCCCTCTTTCGTCGTCGTCTTCATTATATTCAATATATAATCTAACTTATTTGTAATATGTCTCCCCGTGTGTGTGTGTGTGTGTTTCCAAAAAAAAACAGTGGTATGTCTAGTGCAGTCTTGGCCAATCAAAGCCAATTTAATTGCTTGCTGGGCAGGATTCCTTATATTTCCTCATCTCAGAGAAACACGCCTTGACCCGTGCCTGCGCACTGTGAAGACAGTTCTTCTTCGCCGGTAAATGGGTGCATTCCTATGTGATCTTCGCCGGCGATAGCTTGCCGGTGAGAAATGCAGCCTGCTCAGTCAGCTCCAGAGGAGTGTTGCGTCTTGACGTCTGGGTTGCTTTTGGTCTTCGATCTCTCGTCCAAACACCCTCAACAGGGCCTCTTGATGGGTGGGGCAATCGTTGCACAAACCGCTATTATACATACCATGCGGAACGATTTAATTGTCGCTCGTGTCGCTCGAACTCATCCGACAGCAAAATGATCCAGAAAGATCAACCCTGATCAACCCGAGCTGCTGCTGCTGCTGCTGACACTGCAGGAGCACTGCCCATGAGTAGGGGACGTGCATGTCATGTTTGTTTGATAGGTTAAATATCCAAGACCTTCTCTACCGTCCAGCTTCCAAAGTCCATCCATCACCTTCGACCATTAACAGCCATCTTAACCAATCCCGCCAGCACGATGTATTCCGTATCTCTGATCACAATTTCGATCCTTGCCTTGCTTGGGCAACTCGTCTCAGCCGAGCCTGCAGACTCCACTCCCCGCGAAACCAAGAAGTGCTTCTACTACACCGGTGCTAATACCAATACCGCCAGTCAGTCCTTCTCAACGGTTCAAGCGAAGTGGTGGTACCAGCAATTACAGACCCAGCTAAAATGAAGCATTGTTTCTTTTTTCCTCCTTCTTTTCTGCTTGCCACTTCAGCTTGTAACGACATCCCAGGTGTCAGTTGTACCGGGGGGTGTGGCGGCACTTTCAACTGTCAGTTCGCAGCAAATCTCATTAACCGATTCACATCCGCAAGACAAGGCTCATTGATTTTTTTTTATTTCCATCTGGGGTTTTCCTAATCGATTCAATTTCCAGTCGCTGAAGAATGCCGACCATCCGATGGCTCAGACCCACAACACATAGCTCCGCCCACCAACCAAACTTGTGATCTTGGGTTCGGTCGGGACACGGCCGCCGCCAAAGGTAAGTGCTTGCCCAATGTTGGGTTGTGGAGTCTCAGTTGAAACGTTATATATAAAGGTCCTGATCCTTCTGACTTCATTCAATCTCTACTGTTGGCTGTCTGTGAATCGCCAACTGATCCTCCTTCAAAGCGTGCGTGACTACGACTGGAATGTACTCGTGCAGGGGCAAAATCACGCCCGGAGAAACGTGTATGTGCAACCCCCCTCTTTTTGTTATCGGTACAGATCAACATTCCCTCATGTGAAGCGATGAGGGAAATGGTCAGACTAATTGTAATCATTTAAACCTGATGATTGATTCTTCCCACTTTTCTTTTTCCCTTAAAGATTGCTATGGTTGCAACATTCCCAAAAACATGTGAATAAATAGTTTAAATTCCAGACTTGCAACCCTAAGACCGGTGGTATTGGGACCATAGTGATTCTCGCTAGCAATTGCCCGCGGATATAAAGTTCCACATCGGATTGTTTTCAATTTTTTAACCATGAGCTTTCTTTAATGCTACTCTACTTGAAATTGGAAGTGTCTTTGACCTTGTACTTTTCTTTTTATTGCACTCGATTCTGGATGTTGTTGACTGGAAATTGTTGTTCCAATTAACTTATGGGAAGAACACATTCGGATTGTCAGTGGAGACTGGAGCTAGCCTTTCCCTTCAGATTTTGTTTTGCGGAAGCTGTTTTGCGGAAGCAAGTTTGTATCGTGTTGAGTTTCCAATACTCTTCCAGGAAATTAAAAAACACCCCTGATCAATAATGTTGTCTCCTGGATATCCTCTCATCGTAATCTCTACCAGTCTTTTTGGCTTTCCCGGAGCCCGCCATGTCAGTCGCATGTGAGAAGTGGTGGAAGATTGCAAGCCTTTACGATGAAGTTCCACACCTTCAGCGGTATGTGTAGCACTAGCAGGTCGTAAAATGGCCCCATGTTGAGTCGTAATACATTTTATCCACCCACGCTACCGCGGGCTGTTTCCATGATTGACCAGGACTTCTTCGTGATGCTTAGCATCATCACTTGCTTCTTCATTTCTCTTTTTGTGTTGTTCTATCCCTCAATGAGTGCGATCTGGTAACAGGGGGTAGCCCAGGTCTCCCCCGCTTCCCAAGGCCATCCACAAGAGCGGCATTTGAAACGGCACGCGAGTTAACCTCAAAAGGTGGGCTCCTCCCTTGTTACCGCAAATGCTGAAAAAAAGAAACACATCGCACACACTTCCCCATTATCAACCGTCCCAGTGGTTGATGATGAGCACTGAGTGATACATACCCACCTCGGGACCCAGCCAAACAAGATCCCCCCCCCAAGAAGCAGTGATGACTGATGAGATGTGGTTGCTTGTCGGGTAGGATTTCTCATCTCCAAAGTCCTCTTGGGGGAGCAGCTAAAGGGTCTACCGGCTCCGGGGGGATTTATCCTTGGGCACCTTGTGCCGAGGAAGATTCCTCCACAGTGAGCAAGCAGTGTCTAATTGTCATAAGAAAATTGCTCCTTATCGATCAGGTTAAAGGTGCACTTGCTTCCTGGTTATCTACTCAAGCCTGTCGGGCAAGCGAGTCCTAGCAGGTCCCCTCAGTCCGCCCATTGAACTGAGCATCATCCACAACGCAGAATTCCTATCCGACAAGCTGGTGCGACTGATGGATTTCACCAACTTACCGGCTGAAGAACTATGAGACTCGGTCTGCCGGCTTGTGTGTGGAGAGCAGGCATTCCCATTATGCCAAATCTCATTCCGGAGTCAGCGCGAATCGGTCACAATATGTATTTATGTAGTGTAACATGGCAACAGTTTTTTCATTTTTTTTTTTGACAATTTTCTCGCGTGCCGATTCATCCATGCGTGTGCGATGTGTTTCTTTTTTTCAGCATTTGCGGTAACAAGGGAGGAGCCCACCTTTTGAGGTTAACTCGCGTGCCGTTTCAAATGCCGTGATCCAAGCTCCAAATCCCATCGACAATAACAGACACCACATCCTACTCAGCCATTACGATGTATTCCGTATCTTTCATCACTCTTGCCGTCCTTGCCTTGCTTGGTCAGCTCATCCTAGCTAACCCAGACTCCACTCCCCGCCAAACCATGAAATGCACCAACTACAACGGTGCCAATACTACATCTGCAAGTAAGTCACAGTTAAACGATTAAGCAAGGTTTATAAGGATAGCATCCCTCACGGAACCAGCCGACTGCATAACTGAGTTATGTTTCCCTTTTCTGTTTGGCACTCCAGCTTGCGACGACTTGCCAGATGTCAAGTGTATCGGAGGGTGTAGAGGCACTCCTGCTGGTGAGTCTGGAATGGAATCCAACAGCTAAATCACATCAGCAACTAAACCTGGATGTTGCTCATCGTTTTTCGTTTCTCTTTTCATCTCGGGCATCCTCGTCATTTACAGTCGCTGAAGGATGTCAAGTATCCGACGGTTCAGACCCAGACCACAAAATCCCGCTCAGCAAACAAAAGTGCGATGTTGGGTTCGGTCGGGACACGCTTGCCAGTAAATGTAAGCACCCACGAAATATTGATGCACCAGCAGAGTCTCAGTTAAAACGTTGAGATCCTGCCTCTGATTTGATTCTACTGTTGCTTTGACCAATCACCCAATCAATACTCAATCATAGCCTGTCGCACCAAGGAGAAAACATACTCCTGCAGTGGCAAAATCACGCCCGCAAAAATGTGTAAGTAAATTCTCACTGTTGTTGATTCGGATGAACGTTTCCTCAGTTTCCTCATCTTCAGCCATGAGAGAAATGCTCGCCCAGATCCTCAGCAATTTGTAACTGATGTTATCTTTTGACTTTCCCCTCCTTCAAAGCTTGTTACGGTTGCAACAAATCCAAGTACTTGTGATCAGTTCCCGCATCTGAAGATTGGAAAGCGGCGATACTTGGTCAGGATCATCAACAGATGTAGCCTTCACGCCGCTCCGCTCTCTTCTCCATCTTGGGTCATCTACACTAGCTTTGATTGTCTCTTTTGTCCTGTGATTTCTCTTTTATTGGACTCGTTGCCGTTGATCGTACATTGTTACAGTTACAGTCACGGGGAAAATACCTCTAGGCTGTCAATCTAGCTAGCATTTTATATTTTCTCGGACTCATGCCGCAAAGGAAAAGAATCATTTACTTTTGTATCATGTTGTGTTCCAATTCACTTTGTCTGTTTTTTGTTCGGAATGTCGATGGCACAATAGACAATGATTTTCTATTATTCGCTTGATCTGAAGTTTCTGCACTTGAGCCAGGCGAGAATGTCAAAGGCCTTCGGGACATGCACTACCTATTCACCACAGAGAAGCTTTACTAAGCCCGACATGATCCACCCAAGGTCGATGAAAGTGGGTCGTCGACCTTGGACCCGACACCACTTGCTTCAAGACCTCTGCCTAATTTCTCATCTGCGGGTCGGGTCTCGCTCCGTACAGGACTGATACAAAATTTATCGTCCGCCAGATCACATGGAAAAATACAAGACATCACAAAAACAATGCAGGACAGAAAAGATAGCCCACGGAAAAAAGTAACTATTCCGAATACGGGAGTCGAACCCGTCTCTACCGCGAACACACTGTATGAGAGGCGGTCATACTAGCCGATATACGAATTCGGATTTGGATGATGGGTTATAGCAAGTTTTGTACAAATTCTTATGTAGAATAAATATATCTATACATCCATGCATCTTTACAGATATGTAGATAAAGACAACGAGGAAAAAAAGCCAAGCATGAACAACACAGAAACAACAAGGTCCTACAGGGTATATATACAAGTTAAGATATGTGGGGTGTGGGTGTGTGTTTACTAATGGAGGATGAGACGATGAAGAGTGGCAACAAATTTAATGTCTCTTCACACGAGATTTAAAAGAAAGGTGAAGGGGGGGAAAAAGGTATGCAAAAGGTATGATAAACGAGTACAGGTTCGATAAAGGAAGAGAGTCAAGTTAATTGGACCAGTTATGAAACGGTTGTTGATGTTGCTGTTGCTGTTGCTGATGTTGCTGTTGGTGTTGGTGTTGTTGATGGGCTTGCTGTTGATGATGATACTGCTGCTGTTGTTGCTGTTGATGCTCCTGTTGAGTGAGAAGAGGTTGGTGAAGGGCGGGAGGATGGATAGGGATATTCGGCACCTCGATAGAAGTGAGCGAGGGGATAGCGGGGGGCTGAGAGGGCCTGAGATGGACGTCGATATCGATATCCGGGGCTCTCTGATGGAGATGATTAGGGTTTGAAGGAGGACGGAAGTTAGCGAAGGCGGGGTTCCAAAGCTGGGGCTCTGATTGAGGAACGGGGATGCTGGCGAGTTGGTCCATTCTTGGATGGTGGGCTTGGTTGGGCACAGGGAAGCAGTTGATATCATTGCCGGGCGAGGGCACGGGGATGCTGTCAGGGGCACTCATGGGCAGCAGTTCGTTGCCGACCGGGATACCCTGATGGACAGGGATGCTATTGTGATGACTCGGCGAAGGGACGGGAATCGAGTGGTTAAATGCAGGCACAGGGATGCTGCTACTGTTTACATTTACGTCCTGTTGGACCGGTATGCCATGATTGGGCGCCGGAGACGTATGGTTGGATAGAATCGGCAGGTTCGGGACTGGAATACTGCTGTTGAGGTGGTTGTTTGAAGCAAATTGGTTGGGAACTGGTATGCTGTCGCCAGTCACGACGGGGATCGAGTCAGGAACGGAGATGCTGATGTCTGCCTGTTGGTGATGATGATACTCGGTTGATTGATTGGCCGGATGATCACGATTCGGGACAGGGATGCTGTTCTCTGTTGCAGGAGGAGCAGCCGCAGTAGAAGTTTCCCTATTTGAGGGAGTTGGAGCACTGCTACCACTGGAAGCGGCTGCCGCCGCCTTTTGTGCTGCTTCGGCTTTAGCAGCAGCAGCCAAAGCAAGCTTGCGCTCCTTCTGAATCTTCCTCTGTTCTGCCTGTTTCTTGCGCTTCTCTTCTGCAAGAGCGGCAGCTTCAGGGGTGAGTTCGACCTGCTTCTTGGGTTTCTTGGGTGGTTTTTTCAGTGGGGCTAATGATCCAGCCGCTGGGGATCCAGTTTCTGAGCGCTCTACGGCTTTCTTCTTCGAGGCCGTCTTCTTACCCGTCGGGGCAGGTGCAGGTACGGTTGTTGCGGATGGGGCGGCCGAAGCGGGAGGTGGGGTGGAAGGACGCCCTGAATTGGATGGCTGGTGACTCGAGCTTCCCGCGACCGGTTTGGTAGCCTGCTGTGATTCGTTCTTGGGATCGCGTAGTGAGTAGCCTGGGAGGTGTAGGTCTGATGGGGCTACAGTCATCTGAGGAATGAAGCCTTTGAGCGCGTCTTGGTTGGGATCGCGCGCGTTCCATTTTTTCTCTGGCTCTTGGGGGGCAGTGATGACAGGCCGGGTAGTCCGTAATCGTTTGATCAAGTCAATTCGCGAGAATCTGTTTTAGGTTGATTTTGAAACTTTAAAATCAGCTTTCAAGACGGGATACAGGGAGGGGGGAGATGTGATTTTATGGTTGACTTACGTAGGAGCAAATGATTGATCGTAGCTCTCATCTGCGATGTGCATGTACCTCTCCTGACGTTCACGCTGGCGACGCATGGCCTCCTTTTCTCCAGAGTTCAGGGGCCTCTTTCTAGATTTCTTCTTGTCCGTAGAAGGCTGGAGGGTGGTCTCGCTCAACATTTGATTGGCGATCCGCGAGGTGATGATACTGGGGGAGAGACAGAGCGCAGGCGCGGTACGATCCTGGTGGGGTTGATGAGTACGAATAAGAGAGAGGAGTGGGAAGTTAGGTATTGATTGACTCACAAGGATTGCTGCCTCGAGTTCAACAGCTTCCTCTTCAGTGATTGGACCCCATTTGAATTCTGAGGATGATGATGATGATGATGTGCCCTTGGTCCCTCGATTCAGTTGTGCGAGTTTGGCTTCGTTCATGAGTAGGATGTCCCTCCAGAGAGTTTCGCATGTTGGAGTGAGTACGAGACGGTGGACGCTGACTTGATCGTTGGGCAGATCGGTTGTGGTAGATGGTTGATGTGAGTTGCTGTTCTGATGAAGGAGATTGTTTGAGGCTCTTTGATGAGCTGCTACTGGTGGTTGTTGTGGGTTGGCCGTAGTTGATTGATGGTGATGATGATGATCGGTAGTTGACTGAGTTTGTTCTGGCTGTTGTTGGGCAGATCGATGGTCATGAACCTCGACGATCAGACATCCATCGTAGAACCTGATTCCTAGCTCGTCGAGCACGTCGAGTAGTTCGTTTGGCATCTTCTGTTCTCGTATACAGTCCATCCAATGTTTCATCTCACCGTCGTAAGCGTGTAGGGTTGAGTCCTTGGCTCCCAGTCGAAAGCCAGCCGAGTAGAGATGCATGGTCAGCGAGGGCGACTCTTTCCTGTACCGTTTCAATATCGACCTGATGGTACGGGTGAGGTTATAGATCCCTGGTTGTCGGAACATTGCTGATCGATGTGATATTTTGGTTTTCAAGTTGTTGTTGTTGTTGTTGTTGTTGGCTGGCTCTGTCTCATGTTTCGGCTCTGCCGTGTTTTATGAGGCTTGTGTGGCCCGGGAGGGGGCCTGATTACATAAGCAACAGTACTCAGTCAGACTCCGGGGCCTCTCATTCATCACTACATACCAACATAGTACTCTCCATTATAAATCCAACACACCAATTCATCGCAGGGGATGCTGCTATGCATTACGAGGATAAGGGAGCAAAAGAAAATTGAAAGTTCATCTTCCATGTCCCATTCATTTTTTTTTTTTTGGTCTTGTTTGTGTCAGGGAAATCTGAAACGAAAGCAATAGCAGCAAACAAACAAGCTGGTATTGCACAAAAATCTCCCCATAGCAATGAGTTTTATAGGGTGCTTCAAGGTGAACAAACGGGCACAAGTCGAGAGGAAAGAATGTTGACTGTGGATATGTCTATCTCATCATAAGATATCACGAATAAAATGTCCTGCTGTCTGTCTCGGATTCGCTGGCATGACTCACCATTGGCCAATGTAGTCAGCCATCATGAGGGAACGTGATAGTGGACGGTCGTCATACATCCATAGCAGTCTTGTTCGGTGGAGGGGAAAAAAATTAAAAAAAAAAAAAAATGAATCTCTCTGACTATGACTATCTTTGCCTAATTAGGGTCAAACATGAGAGAAACTTCGTGTAAAAGAAAGTTTACATACACATTTGAGGTGGAGACGCTACCTGGGTGCAAGAGTAAGCTTTTGCTTTGCTAACGCATACTTTGATTGGGTCGAAGTTGTTTTTTAAAGCAGTCAAGTCAGAGTCACGATGGTTATTGGGAATCAATTTTACTCCATGAGAGGCTCAAGGAGCTAATCATTGATACTCACATATAGACCCGCTCGCGTCCTGGCCGAAGCTGACATTGCAAGTGTGAGGACTGTTGAGCCGATTGGGATTGTTGACGTCCGAACCATCGGCTTTGGTGCATCCAGTGGCGACTGTAGTGAACCATCAGGAAAAAAAACAGTTCAACCAAAAATCAATTATCGAAATTCCATTTTGCAAGCATATTTTTTTTGAAGTGATTCGGTATAATCGCAAGCCATTATGACTCACTAGCGGAAGAGCCGCGACAACCTGCGGTGCAGATCAAATTTGGTGTGCCGTTACAAGCTGGAATGACAAATATCCAAGCGTGAAGCACGAAGAAATCAGCCAATGTGACTCGCACATCACAACACAGGCATTGAGTGTGACTTACTAGCGCGTGAAGTATTAGCATCGGTGTAAGCATTGCACATCTGGGGCTGCCCACCGGAGGTTTGTGGGGTAGCCAAGACGAGTTGACCGATCAAGGCAAGGATGGAAAGCGTCAGGAAAGATGCAGAGAACATGATGATGCTACCGATAGAAAGGCAATAAACGACGATTTTTGTTTCTGGTTTTGTAGGGATAGACTTATCGATGGTGGGGGGTAAGAAGAAGCAAAAGGTCTATTTACATATTTATCAAAATGCGAAAAGCTGGAAACATCCTTGGGGCCGCGGCTATGAGCCATATCCAATTGCTGTCACTGCTGTCGCAGTACAGTGAGAATCCCACCATTTTTGACCGACCCGGACAGCGCCGAGGAGTGCTCTTCGTAGACAATCCTTGGAGAGGATGCAACTCTTCGGCCAATTGACACGGCTGCGGGAACGACTGGACAGCGTCAGGTTTATCCCGACGGTCCCGCCATTTTATGTAGCTGGTAGACCTTGGCATTGTTAAAAAATGTCCCCACACAAGGTGTGAGCCGTCCAATCCTGACATGAGGATATAAAGGCACATGTCAGTGAGGAACCCGGCAAGATTATACCGGCTGATGTAACTGGTAGTGGAGGACTTCCCGTCGGATCTGGGACCCTTGCAGAAGTCGATCTAGACAGAAAAACTCTTGATTCTTGCAGAGAAATTTGAATTTTGCGGCTCTAAACCGACTCTGGGAGACCCGCAGATGTCGACGGGAAGTCCTCCAGTAAAACTGATACTTTTGTAAAACGATACTGATGAAAAATTGAAATCTTGTAGCAATTTTACAAGTTTTTTGAGATTTCTTCTGATAACATGATCCTCATGTAAACAGTAGCAAATTTTGCTGAATTGAGAAGAAAAAAAAAAAGAAAAAAAAAAGGGGGGGGTCGGAAAAACGACTCCCGTCCGACAACCCCTTGACCAAAATGGGAGTCGCCGGACAATTTTTGGGAGTCGTTTTTCCGACCCCCAAAAAAAAGGGGAAAAAATGAATTATAATTTATGCAGTCAAAAAAAAGGAATGAAGACTTTTAGAAATAGGGGAAATTTAAAAAAAAAAAAAAAACAGAAATTTGCAGGGCGGGCACCTTTTTTTTTGGCCAACATACTCATGAAAACAGTATCTAAAACAGGATCTTCAGCCTGAATACCAATTCTACCTGGAAGCAAAAGTGCTTGTTTACCCAGATTTATGTGAGCCACTTCAATAGGGGCTTGCTGGGGTCCTCATGGGGCAGTTCAAATGGCAAGAGTGTTGAGTTGTTTGCTGATTGATTGGGATGGGACCCCAGCTGACCCCAGCCTACCCCTACAAGACCCCTAATAGAAAAAGGTATGGAAAATAAGCAAAATCCCAAAATCCTACTCTTGAAGAAGCTTGAAATTTAAAAAGTATGAAGGTCATATACCACAGCTACCCACATTACAGACTTCCAATTTCAATTTTTTTTGGCAGTAATTGATTTTGAACAAAAATGTGTACCACAGGGGTCAGTGGATGACTTCCCGTCAACATCTGCGGGTCTCCCAGTTTTGATTTAGAGCCGCAAAAGCTAGATTTCCCTGCAAAAATCTAGGCTTTTTGGGTCTAAATTGAGAACTGCAAGGGTCCCAAATCCAACAGGAAGTCCTCCAGTTTCTGCAACAACCCAACCAAATCTGTACAGTCTTGATGACCTGTGTGGAACTCCTACAGTTGCGGATGGCAAAAACCGACCATGCCCCGCCTGCAAAATCGAAAATTGATACGCGGGGTCTATGCCCGGGGGGGGCATGTACCCCAATACTTATTTTTATTACAATTTTGAACTCCTACAGATCTGTAGAGTTCAAAATTGTAACCGCTAAGCTTTAATTACTGTGGTGGTTCTTTTTTTTTAATTGTGTGACATACATGTATCCGGACATGCATACCAAAAGCCATACTTAAACCCATAAATATGGGTTTAAGTTAGGCTTATTCATGGCTCATACCCCTTCAAGCACCTGTAGCATCAACTTGGAGTGTTTATTCAATACTCTGAGCCAGTTTTTTTATCACTCTTAGGCCTCAAAAGGGCTTCAAAACCATGTAAATTCCAAAAAAAAACTGATTTTTCAGCAAAAATATTTGGACACCCTCCAAATCCAGGGTTGGTTTTTGCCATCCACAACTGTACTGTACCAGGCAGTAGGCAGTTGGTTGGGGGGAAAGTGCTGAGAAGCTGCCCTTTTTGTAGGCCCAGATGAGAGGTGTGATCAAAACATGAAGTGTTGGGGGGTGAGATTTGGTGAGAAGACAGTGGAATGTGGATTCCCACAGCGGTTGTAGTCTACATTTGAGGATCAGAATGGCCAGAAGACCCTGAGGTGGTTCTGGAAATGTTGGAGTGGAGTCAAAAGATTTGATACCTGTTTAGGCAGCTAGATTGATAACATGTGCCATTCAACCAAGCTTGCAGTTGTCATGGACAAAAGCAATTAAGGTTGAGAGATGTGAAGTCATTGTCTTGCTGTTTGACATTATCAGTTGTGATACAGAAGATGTTATCATTCAACTTGAAGAATTCAATAATCTCGGCCATGTGAGGGGCTAAGGTAATTCCAGAGTGACTTCTGTTGAGAGGCTTGGTGGAAAGTACCATAGATTTGGGCTCATAATTTCTGCTGATCCAATCAGCAGTAACTCCAAGGTCAGATAAGTTGGTTTAAGCTGAATTTTGACTGAATCAACTGGAATTAGGTTATGAGAGCCTGTTAAAGATGCCAGAGTATCCCTTCTGCAAAGGAGTGACTTTGTTGCTGGCTTACAGATTTTGAAGCTCCACAAATTTGCTGTGATCAACAAACTGGTAAGGAATGTTGCTGCTGATGAAAAATTGCACAACCACTCAAGTTAACATATTGTGGGTGAGTGTCTTTGGCATTGCTGATTTTCTGGTTTTGATGAAAGCCTTGAGAGCACCAATGTTGCTGAATTTTCCATTGTTGTGTATGCCATGGCAGCTGTCTAATTGTTTTCAACAGAGAGCTTCTTGAGGAAAAGCATTGTACCTCCAGTAACACAGCTTGCTTGACAAACATTGATACTCTTCACTTCCATGGTTTTGGTTTTGATTCTTGAAGTACTGTCATACCCAACTGTTTCTAGCAGAATCTTGACCTTGAGAATTCATGGCCTCTGAGCTTTGGATTGAAGTTTCAATTTCAGAATCTGATGTATAAGAATCAAGAATGATAGCATTTCTCATCAGTCTGTGTGGTATTTTAAAGTTAATAGATGATCTGAGCAATTTGATTTGAGGAAAAATTTAAGTGTTTTGATTTTGGGAAGATCAAGCTAGAGAGGAGAAACATGCAGCGGGACTGAGGACTGAGAAACAAAGCTTGGGGATTTTATTTCTTTCTTCAAGTAGGCCAATAGTAAAGGGTAGTAACAAACTGGACATACTCATTTATAGAATCTTTTGAACATAAAAATTCACATAACATCTAGAAATTTTTTTGATCATCCAATCATGTGACATAATAGAGGTCTTGGGTAGCTAACAACCTTGGTTTAATTTTCACATTTTTCAAGCTTCATCAGACCATGAGAACTTGTAAATTTAATTGTTACAGTTCTTTTCCTGGTGGACTTGAGCTCCATCACTGCGGAGCCAAGATCCGGCTGATACCCAGTGTTGGGACCGGATTTGCTGGGTTCAGATGTGGGACAAGCTCTACCCAAGCCCAATGCACTAGGTGGCATCCTTAAATGCAGCTCACCCAGCCCACATATCCAGCTCACCCAGCTCCAATCCAGATCACCCAGCTTTACACTCAGCTCAAGAAGCTCAAATTGAGCTGGGTGAGCTGGGTGCATCCAGCTTCACCCATTTTTCCATTACAAATGAAGTATGTGAGCATTTTTTTTCCTCCATTTGGAATGGAAGAAACAAAGTTACAAACCTTGGTAAGATTACAAGCAATAAAAGGCCAATATCAGGCATAAATTGACATCTTATTGATTTTTATTATGTTATCCGGGGACAACAAGTTACTTGAGTAGTATTGTAACAGCCTGAAAAAAAGGTCCATGAAAATAGACATTGTGCTAGTTCTTGACGTGTGATCAATGACACTAACTGGGTCATGGGTGCAAGGGTAACAATGAAAGTTACTTTACAGAGATTGTAAGATATTGTAAAGTAAAGTAACCACCCATTGTTGATATATGGACTAGTGTTTTAGTGTCTGACATGAATTTTAGTTGGCCATTCATATGATGGCCCCGAATTTGATTCTGATATAACCACAGCCTATGGGCAATGTTTGTACCCCCTGCTATAGCTGTAACAGTTGGACCATACCTTTATCATTTGCTACTCAAAAAGACACCGTGCGACACTAGTTCAACTCCCACCAAAACCTCCACCTTGTCAACCAAAACTCCAAGCAATGAAACCACAAAGACTCATATTTGGCATCCTGATGGCCTTCATCCCAGCCTATCTAGCTCCTGGCAGCAATATCCCATGCCTCATCTGTGGCAAAGCTTCTGGAGAGATCTTGAGAGAAGGCATGGTTAATCAAAAGGACAAATGTGGAGAGCCCTTTCCCGGAGGGGGGTTCTGTGGAATACAGCGTACAAAGAAGTACTACAGATGTAACTCTTCTACATGCCGTGCAATAATCGTCAAAAACAAGCAATGTCGGCTTGAAGAGCAGGAAGGCTGTGGCCATGAAAACAGAAAAGTAATTGTACAACCAAGAACCTTGCCCTCTGGAGCAACTCCTTCACAACCAGTTGTACCCTCTGAAGCATCCTCTTCCCAACCAGTTGTACCCTCTGAAGCATCCTCCCCAGAGCGATTTGTAACCTCAGAGGAGATACCTGGCACTAATGGACGCCGTATCTTCCACTTCTTCAGGCAATAAATTACTAACAAAATAAACATATTGGATTGGAAACCACCACCACACAATATCTTTTGCATTTTGGACCAGCAATTACAAAAGGGTCTTAGTTAAACGACTCCCAGAAATTGGAGTTCTGACTCCCAAATTTCTGGGACGTCGCAAGGACCATCTGGGGACGCTCCTCAGGACGTCCTCGGGAGTCGGACCTCCAAAACCTTCAGAAGGTTTGGGAGTCGCTCCCCTAATGAAAAAATAAAAATAAATGAAAAATAAATGAAAAAAACAAGAACCCCCCGGGGTTTTTTGGGAGTCGATCCTCCCAGGAACCCCATGGGGGTTGGGAGTCGGCGCCGGAAAGATGCCCTGAGCAGCCGAGAGGGATCTCCTCTCGGCCGCTAAGAGTGTATGCTCTCA